TTTTGATTTTTAAATGACAAATATAAAAATTAAGGGTGCTGGCTTTCGTCCGCAATCGCAATTATAAATAGAAATAGAACAAGTGAAATGTCCCGATAAAATAAAGTAATATACTTCGACATAAATTGTTATTTCATCAACAAAACTACAGGGAATAAAACCAAACAACCGGGTAATTACAATTGTCACTTTTTTCTCATATGTATAAACACAAACTTTGTTTTTATTTATTTGGTTAGTCAAATTAATATAATCAAAGACAATTATGGCAAACTTTACTTGTAATTATAAAAAGTATAAATTAATTATACGGAAATATAATTTAGTTTAATTGTAACATAGAGTCGACACCAGTATGTTTACTGCGGAAGGAAACTTTTTGTTCTTCCGTTAAAGAGTTGAAATATATTCGGAGTTTTTCAATGTTTTTGAAATCAGTCCAATTGTTGCATCGTTTGGCCATGTGCCCACTTAAACTACAAATTCTACATATTTTTTGTTTTTCAAGAGAAAATGACATCTTTGATAGAGCGTGCTTCTTGTAAACTCTTTGAGTTTTTTCTGGGTTTTCGACAAGAAAAACTTTTTTACTTGGTCTCATTTGTGAATTTTTAAGAGTCGGTGGATCGAGTGAAAATGGGCTTCCTTCAATCTGTTTGACCTTTTCTTTTTCCGAATTTTCTTTATAATTTGAACTGTTTAATTTATAAACAGTTGAAATAATGTTTAACCATTGTGCTTTAAGTGAGGGGGTGTAGAGTATGGTATCAACAATTTCATCAAAAGCAACGACATGGTCTTTGCGTGTCCATAAATTTAATTTCTCAGTTACAGTTCGTTTCACAAAGGAGTGTTCGGCAATCGACACTTGCTCCACAAAAGCACCAACACCAAAGTCTGACAGTTCAAAGAGTGGTTCTCGAAGTCCAAGTACTTTGTCATACAAGCGTCTATAAAGCTGATGAACACAAGGACAAACGTGTTTGAGTTTTAAATAAGCATCACATGGACAATAGTATGTGGTGGAACCTTCAAGCGGCGCGAGCATTGGGACCATTGAATAATTATTAAGAAGATAGACTATCCACTCACGTTTAATTTTGTTTATATTCTGAAGACCGATAAGCTTGTTGACGTTTTGTAATTGAATTTCTGTATAGTATGAAATATAATTATTCACAAATTTGTTTGCCTTCTCAATAAATATTTGTGTCACTTCAATCAAGGTAACAATTTTCCCGTTTGTTTCACGTTTTATTACTCCAAAAAAACCTTCGACTACATTTGTGGTCAAGTCGTGTGTGATTCTTTCTGTGTATTGAGGAATCCAACTTAATTTTGTTTCTTCGAGTTGCTCAAGAAATCTAGTCTTTTCATTTCCCAATATTTTAACAGAAGAGTGTTGTTGACTTGATTGACAATAGTCAATAAATTCATGAAAAAGATCAACATTATCAAGAACTCCGCCTTCTTTTGTGTATTCAGAATCTTTGCATTCTGATTTATAAGTTGCAATTAATTCCAAAAATTGTTCACCTGTAATTTCCCGATTTATTAGCTTTTTAAAAGACTTATAAATTGTTGAATTTTTGCCAAAAGCGGTTATAATGTTGCGTCTTATATGTCTGTAACAAAATACAATTTTTGCACTTGGAAATATCAAACGAATTGCTGTTGTTTGAGCAGCACAACGATCAACAACAAACGTGTTTATATTGTTGTGATGGTCTTTTAGAAAAGATAGAAATTCTTCGTAATAAGACGTGAATCTATGCCTGATAAATCCAAAAGCTATAAGTTGGCACTTTCCGTTGATGTCTTTGCATAAAGCTGCAACAATTGGTATTTGAAATTTGTTGGTGCAAAACGTGTCGTCTAAAAAGACGCAATCTTGACAGATGTCATTTCTAAGTAATTTGTTAAAGAAAAAGCATTCATCGAAAACATCATTTGAATTGTTAACAAAAAGTGTATCAAAGTTTGACAACTCAGAAACAAACTTCAATAATTGATTGCATTGTTCATTTGTCATTGCACCCAACATTCGTTTTCTTTCTTTTTTAATAAATAATTCAGTGTACTTGTTTTTGAATTTGTCTTCTGTGATTTTTTGCGAAACATTTTGCTCTATATCATTTGCAATTATCTCTTTTGAAATTTCTGACATTCGATTTCTCAACATTTTCATTGGTTTTATCGTGAATGCGTGTGAATGTCCATCATGTAACTCAAATTTAATTATCTTTTCACTTGTACAATTATCAAACATCACAATAATTTTAGAATCACACTTATATTGTTGTTTGTATACACAGTTATATTTAAACGTTTTTCTATCTTTACCTGTGTCTTTTGCATTATATAGTGAAAACAATTTATTATCAATTTGAATTCTACTTGCTTCAACGATTTTTGTTGTTGTATTGTATCTAGTAAGACTTGTAGTTATCATTTTAAGGTTGTTGATTAATTCAATTGGAGTTCGAACTTTTGTTAAATTTGTGTTGTTTTTGATAATTAGTTGTACGTTGAATTTATCTGTAGATTCAATATTCTGAGTATTTGGAAATTTTGGTATCATAATTCCATTCAGTTTATCTATAAGTCCATTTTTCCAATCTAAAATATCTTCAAAACCCCTTTCCATTTTGTTATTTTTAAGTTTTATTTTTTAAAAAAAAACTTTATTTTAAAAACAAAGTTTGTGTTTATACATATGAGAAAAAAGTGACAATTGTAATTACCCGGTTGTTTGGTTTTATTCCCTGTAGTTTTGTTGATGAAATAACAATTTATGTCGAAGTATATTACTTTATTTTATCGGGACATTTCACTTGTTCTATTTCTATTTATAATTGCGATTGCGGACGAAAGCCAGCACCCAAAAATTAAAGCCAATCCAAAACATTATTTATTTTGTTAACCTTGTTCATCGATTATGATTTGTTGATTTTTTTACGACTCAAAATTTACATAAAACTAAAAAATGATTTATTTGAATTTTAACAATTTACTCTAAAAACAAAGAAGCGATACTTTTTACACCAACAAATAAAAAGATTTATTTGGTACCATAAGAAAACTAAAAACAATTGTGTTTTATTTGAAAACATGTAAGCGAACACACATTACTTGATCTAATATGACAATGAATCAAAAATGTAACTGATAATATATAGCGATGAAAATTATAGAAATAAGATGTGTCATGAGCGTTAAAGAATATCATGAAGTTTCAACAGCCAGTTTATCAACTCATTGATTTTGAAAAGATTTTTAAACTTTTCTGGAAGTTTGTTACCAATAACTTCCCATTATTTTGTTCAAATATATCACCAAATCAACTGTATTTATTCACGTTTGGATGTTTGGAAATGAAAGGTCGAATAATCTCAACTTTATTTATGTTAATGGTTGTGTAATTGGTTATTGAGTTTCTGAATAGTTATATTAATTATAATTTATTCTTATGTTATCCCATAGGTTGGTATGTATTTTTTATTAAAAATAGATTAAAAAATATAAATAAAGTTTATAGAATAAATAACGTTACCAAACAGACTTTATCATTTTTTTACATATATGGACCTGTCAAAAACGTAGCATATTTTGACCTTCCACATCCTCTCCAAAAATAGAATTTATTTGCTATTTTCGATAGTTTGATTAATTAACAACAATTTATTAATTAGATAATAAAAATAGAAAATTTTTTAATATAATATTATCATTTTATTTAAACTGTTTTAAATGAATAATTCGTTTAAAATAACCATAACACCAATTACAAACAAATTTACTGTTTTCTCTTTTATTTTTAAATTGAGTATAAAAAAATTCAATT